GCATACTGACCAAATAGGCAACTCCGGAGCAAGTAGAGTACACAACACCTTCGTTGAGCTGATAGCCTACTAGGAGGAATGTCAATCTGTCTATCGGGACCTGCAGGCATGAAACGCAGCGTCCCCAGGCAAAAGGGACGTCAGTACGAATTAAGTACCGGGTATGTAAGATGGGAAACCATAAACCAGAACAGTAATGTAAAGAGAGATAGAGGAGATACAACCTGTAACATCTGAGTGCCTCTGGGGGCTACTGACATGAAATGCATAATACATATATATACATAAACTTTTAAAAACATACGCCTCTGTGGGCAACATCATCATCATATCATACCCGGCCTCAAAGAGGACTCGGTAAAAACGTACCCGGCCATCATAAGGCTCGGTAGAATCGTACCCGGCGACGTGGAGCTCGGTAAATCCAACTGATCAGTGGTTGCACAATAGGTGCCATACCCGGCCGACTATAGCGCGGCTCGGTAGAGTAAAGTAGATACATATATAATGCATGTTGGACTCATGAAATCACGTTCTAAACCTTTTGGAGTGACATAAGGTCATTGCACCATCAGTTAACATTATGGACATCATACCATCAATATGAACTTCACTAGGACTCAAGGATCATATATGCTTTCTTGGAATAACTTTGTAAGGAAAGAATAACATGGACAACCTTAGTTGCTAGGAGTAGATTCATTATGAAATAGCGTATCGTTTATATTCGTTTCACTTTAGATCATGCCAAAAGAATGAAGGAAGAGCCTTAACATACCTTTAACATGTTGAGTCCTTAATACCTTCCAAGCAACTCTTCAAACAAGTCATCTCGATCTATCATAGCATAAGGAGATTCAAAATCAGTGTTGAACAAAGGCTAAGTCTATAACTTAAGCTAGTAGCTCGTCTACGTATATTCGGGCAGCATCTNCATTGCCTTTTATGTTGTGGAGAGGAGTTACTACTTTAAGAACCACAAACCAACCACCTTTCTGCTGTGAAGATATCAAAAGGAACAGAGTGGGGTCATCCTGTTAGCGTTAGGGCATTAACAGCTAAAATATCACATTGCGTGCAATGCACCTAGCCACAGTTATCGGTTCTAACATGACTTCGAGGGTATGAAGGTCATATGGCATCATCCCAATTTATTCATTTGAATCTTCTCTTTTCTTTTCTTTCCTCGCACCTCTTAGGTCGCTCATTTTCTTTCCCCTTTTTCTTTCTGATTATCGCTCTTTTTCTTCCCTCTCATTTTTCACATGCCATAATTTCACCATCCTTTTTTCTTTTCTCTTTCTGTTTTTTTTCTTTTAATAAAAATGATTCGATCGAACCCTATGTAGGTTGCCTCCGTATCATGACGCTGCATAGTTCTAGAAGATCGGGAACAAAGTAAACAAACTAACTTTCTCATTTTTTTTCTTAATGACTACTCTGACAAGATAAGGGAAATAAAAAAAACAAATCTTTTTTTTTCTAGACTTAATGTTTTATAACCTATTCCAAACTCAAGCTTAACGGATTTTTTTTATTACACAAATTCTCTATTAAGGAAAAATCCTAGAAGAGAAAACTATTTTTTTACTTTTTTTTTAGGAAGGAAATCATGTTGTTTTCTTTTTCTTCTATGTACAGTGTCCTAAAGTTCTAATGAAAATGAAAGGATTTTTTTTTTTCATTTTTCATTAGTTTCCCAAAGAAGAACCTCAAAAGNCCTAAGGCGGTGGGGAAAGTAGGTGGCGGCGGATTAGGGTTCGATGTTCTCTGCAGAGGGGGAGTAGGAAGAGAGACGAGAGATGGGGGGGGGGGGGATCTCACTCGGACACTTATATATCAAACCCACCCCAGCTTCCTAACAGTTAGATTAGAAAACCTCGACGGCTCAGATTTGATCTAACCTAAACGGGGTCGTTTATGTAGTGAGGAAGCTGGACCGGGTAGGGACGGATTTTTGGGGTAATTGGGGAGAAACATTTGGGCCTGGGGCTTGGAAATTAAATGCAGCCCAAATCAGAATTCCTTCTCTTGTTTTCTTTTCTTTTTCAATTCTTTTTTCTAATTTCTTTTAATTCTTTTTAAACTAAGTTAAAATAAAAACAAACTTAAATTAATGCCTAGTGAAATTAAATTAGCTAACTCTAAATAATAATTAACACAATTAATTAAGACCCAAGTTAAAGGAAACACTACCCAAGTTCAAAAATTAAAATTAAAAGTGCAAAATAACTATTTTTGTGACTTTTCCCACTTTTATAAAATAACTAATTTACCACCTAACTCAAAAAATATAAAATTAAATCCTACATGAAAATGCAACATATTTTTTGTATTTTTCATTAATTAAATAAAATAAACATGCACAGACAAATGCAAACACTTGACAGAAAATGCCACAAAAATCCACAAAATTTGCAAATAATGGAAAAATTATTTTGTTTTGAATTTATGGGAGTAATTCATATAGGGCAAAAATCACGTGCTCACACCCATTATATAGTAGGAGAGTCTCACTCTAGGTACAATTCTTATAAAAGGTAAAAAAAAATCTTTTAATGAACTGATTTTTGGTTCCCTGTCGATACATGCCGAGATCCCCGCCGTGATACTCGGTCGGTCACGGATATCACGGCCTTCCGTTGGTCGTGCTTGATTACCTGACAACATCCTTTGAAGTTATTCAAAGCTAGGACCGGTTCCGAACCATGACCCCGATATTCTCGAGGGTAGGTATTATGGTCCCGAACTTCGAATCAATGAGACCTTTACCTCGGTTTTGGCCCCTTGTTATCATATCTCGAGCTTGGCTTATCATGTCGGAGACCGAGGTATATCACAACATCAGTTTTACCTGTATACAGATATTCCCCTCGTTTCTCGGAGAGTAAACGACGAGAATCAACATGTGCTCCTAATTCCTACTTTGATCCGTCGTAATAGAAACGACAAAACATCCCGAACGTCTCGATCACGTCATAATGGCATTAAATGCATGTCAGCCGTTGGTCGGCTATCCTTGGATATGAAACGCCGCCGAGTTCTTATAAATACCACCTCCTTTGTTCATTTTCACTTTACATCAAACCTTCTACCCTCGTATCCTCAGGATTTCAATACTCTTTAGCACTTTTACCCTCATTATTTAAGTTCCTTTGCAAGAATTTTTACCCATCTTCTTCTCAAGCCAAGAAGTCCAATCCTTAAACTTTCTTTCCTTCTACATCTTTTCCAGACTTTCCTCCATTTTTACTTTCTAAATGAATGGCAAAAACGTCCAAAATAGTTCCCCAGAAAGAAGCTCCTTCTACTTCGCGACCGGCCACCGAGGTCGAAGAAACCGCTCCAGGCGTGGCCGTCGATGAACTAGTACCTGAAGCCCCTTGAAAATGTTCATCCTTGGGAGATGCTAGATCAATAATGATTTCAAGGTTGAAAAGCCTTCCTCCATGCAGGGTCGGTGTGAGGAGGTCTCGAGATATATCTGCTCGATCACCGAAGAGGTCCTCCCTACAGTCCGAAAGGACTGCAAGTGGGCCGATAAAAACATAGTGGTCCCCGACCCCGAGGAGGCCATTACCACTCATGTCGAGGGATATTTGAGTGTTTGCACTTATCCTTTTACATTGGGACTAGCGGACACGGTCATCATAGACTTCTGTAAGAGATACGAGGTATGCCTCGGTCAGATTCATCCTTTAATGTGGAGGATCATGATCCTCCTTCTGTTTTTTGTGAGCAAAATTGACTCCTGTCGGTGCATTGTGGATCACCTGCTTCGTTTGTACAATCCCCGAATATTCCAAGGGAGGCTGATAAAGTTGGTGCGCCGGGCCCGCAAGGCCCCATTCTCAAGTATTGATAAGGACCGGGATTGAGGCTAGCAAGTCAGTTTTGTCCGAGTGAGGACTTCGGACTTGATTTCGGCTGAATGCGGGCTATTATCCAAAAAGTGGAATACATCACGTAAGTAGAACTTCCCTTCAATCACGGATGTTATGTTTACTTCTCTTTTCTTTATCGGTACTCGTGGTGATGCAGCCATCGCTCGAGTTCCCAATGTTGTCCCTCGACTCAAGGAGTTGGTCGAAGGTATCATTTCACATATGCCCTACTCCGAGCGCACGTGGCGCAAACTTTTGAAGGGCTGTTAGGAGGCCCGTTCTCATGGTAAGATTCCCTTCCTGAATAGATTGTGTCAGGCTTTTTCTTTTAACAGGAAGTCCTTCTTTCCTTTGCTTTTTTTTCACAGGTTTGCCTAAGGACGTCAAGCTTAGGCCTCTAGTTGGTGGCGAGGACTTTCCTGTCGAGTCTCCTGCTTCCAGGCGGACCGGAGAAAAAAAAAGAAGGAGGACTCCGAGTTCCCCAAGCTCGAAGAAAAAGAAAACGCGAAGAAGCCTGTTGCATAAGCCAAAGGAAAGCACCATCTCCCGAGTGTGCGACTTGGACTCACTCCTCCGACTCAGGAACGAGCCCGAGGAGGACGATATTTTTCTGGCCCATGAGCCGTCAGTGCCCGAGAAACGGGTGGCAGCCGAGGGGGAAACAACGGAGGCCATTCCCTCTTAAGTTCAAGAGGCCGATGCAGCGAAGGTCTAGAACCCTCAAGACGTCGGTTTTGCCCCCCTTCCACCCCGGTGTCATTGACATAGCGGGATCACCTTTTTTCACGGAATCGATGTCCGGTGAAGCTCAAACGATGAAGGAGTGATCGAATGAGGGGGTCCATGGAGCGAACGATCCTCTCCAAAGCTTTTTGATGGCGTGGACTCCACCTCCACGGAGGACGCCACCGGATTACGTGACTTAGAAGTACCGAGGAAAAGTTCATCCTCGAGGGCAGGTGGGTCTAATTCAAGCACGAGACTGGTTAACCGGTTCCCTGCCTCGAGTAATGATCCTGGACGGAAGCGGTCAATTATCATCACCGTTCTAGAGGATGCCAGGGTTCGTTAGCTAGTTACCTCCGATGCCTGGTAACCGAAGAAGACCATGCAAAAATGAACGAGGTGGATTCCTCATACATGTTCAACGAAGCACAACAATCGCTGAACCAGGTAAGGTGTTACCAAACCTTTCCATTTTTCAGCTTTGGTTATTGGTGATCCTAACATTTCTTCTCATATTTGCAGGCCTTGGTGCTTCACCACAAGACCTTTCTCTAGTATCGAGATGAGCTGAGCCAACTCAAGGCCGAAGCCAAAGAGCTCGCTGAGAAGAGAGACATGTACAAACTTCTCAACAAGCAACATGAAGGAAAGGCTAAGAGCCTTAGAGCTGAGTTGGATGCGGCTAGGAAAGAACACACCGACCTGGTGGAACAGGTAAAAATCTTTGAAGTTAGTGACGATGAGCTAGACACGGTGACTAATAGTCAGAACCCGCAGGTCCAACAGAAGATCGATCGGATTGACCAGCTCCAGGCCGAGATGGATGTAATCAAGGTCGAGGCCGAAGAGTGGAAAGGAAAACTGGACTGCTTGGACTTGGAAAAGGAAACTGCACAGGCGCAATTGGCCTCGGCGGAGGATCAACTTCGAGCGATGAGGGAGAAAGCTCAGGCACGGTCCTGGAAAATAGAGGAGCTTTAGTCTCAACTGAGCTCGGTTGCTGCCGATCGGGAGACCCTCGCTAAGGAGCTTAAAGCAGCCAAGTCGGTGGCTGAAAAAACCAAGGCCAATGGCGACGAGATGGTGGCCCAGTATATAGTCGATGCTAAGGTATCCCAGGACCGCTTGAAAGACATTGTTGAGTATGAGAAGCGGCATTCCGATGCGAGGACCTCGAGGAGGTTCATGCTCGGGGTTTTGATTTATCGGCCGAGATCGAAATTGCTAAGGGGCTCAAGGTCGAGGCCAAGAAGTTCTCTTACCCCGAGGACAAAGAAGACTCCGAGGCTTCCAGCAGATCCGAGGGCACAGAAGGCCCCGATGGTCCCGGTGATGAGGCGGGCTCCAGTGAGGACCAGGCTGCTTAGATGCTTTGCAGATGCTTTTGCTTTTTTGCTTTTTGTATCATTTTTTTTGTCGAGGATGTTTGGCCTTTGTAAAAATCTTTTAATATATATATAAAAGGCTTTTTTCATTCGACAAATTTCAAGCTTTTTCTTTATGATTGCAAAGATATCGAATGCCTTAGCACGTAATAACTAGGTCTTGTTCGGAGGTCTGAACATGCCTCGTTCCTGGTACTATTTTGCTTAAGAATCGTGGGGGCTCAGTACAACCGGAAGCTTTTCCCAAAGTACTTAGAATATTTTAGATTATAATTTGCCGAAGGTAGCCTTTTGAACCGGTTAGAAATTTTGTAGGCCTTATGTTTTGGTTACAGGTCTCGGACGTCTCCGAGCTGTTCTAGGACGGCCGTAGCCTTTTTAGTTCGGGTGTTGCTCAATGTGCTTGCTACCCCGAGTCATCTGGGCTTACCCAAGACAACCGTTCTCGAATGGGGATGGCTGTAGCCTTTAAAGTTCGGGCATTGCCTAATAGGCTTTGTACCCCCGAGATTCGATATCTCGAGCCGTCCGAGCCTGCTTTGGAGGAAAGTCCCAGAGTGAAGTGGCCCTTGGGTTCAATGTGTTTAGGGGACCAAATGTACGAAAGAAAACAACAACAAAATTTTAAGGGACAAAATATTTATCTGCAAGGTAGAAACTTCTTTTCATTTCTATGCGTAATATACAAGGTTACACATGTGTACAAGCTTTGTATCAGAGCTCAGGTCGTCTATGTGGGCACGGTTCATTTGACCATTTGGCCCTTACAGTAAATCCTATCTACGAGCCTAGACTGTTCGAGCACAAAGTTTCTTTCCTTGCTAAAATCATTATCCAAGGGTGATGCCTCCCAGTATTCGAGGCTGATCATAGAGAAGCCTCGGATACTGTTGATGTGATCCTTGGCACCGGTTCATGGCTGGTATTCCACACTAAGTTCGCACGATCTACCATTGCCTCGTTAAAAACCTTGCTGGAAAACTCATTTGGCGCAAAACCGGTTCAAGGGAAAAAGAGTGCAATGCGTGGTTTCAGGCCTAAAAGTTGCACCGTTTCTTGAATATCACCCGCAAATGTTAGTCTAACATGTAAATAAAAGAAATAAATGGGATCGTACCTTAGCAGTAATGTCGTTTAAATGAACGAGGTTGGATCTTTGATTGTAATACCTTTCGATATGTTGCTTTTGGGCGGCCAACCGGACGAGGGTGGCCTGGCGCCTTTTGTCTAATAGTCCCAGGCTCATATTCATGGCCTCGTCGTTTGGCTCTTTGGTCGCAAATTGGAATATGAGACTCGGTTCTCCTGCTTCAATCGGTATTAAGGCCTCGGCGCCGTAAACCAACGAGAATGCGGTGGCCCCGGTACTCGACTTCGAGGTCGTCTGATATGACCATAGGACTTCGGGCAAGATTTCATTCCATTTTCCTTTGGCGTCGGTCAATCTTTTTTTGAGGTTTTGGAGTATGGTTTTGTTCGTGGACTCCGCTTGCCCGTTCCCACTAAGGTGGTAGGGTGTTGATAGGATTCTTTAGATCTTATGGTCTTCGAAAAACTTGCTTACTTTGCTGCTGATGAACTGCTTTCCATTGTCGCACACGATCTTGGCTGGCATTCCAAACTAGCATATTATGTGGTCCCAGATGAAATCAATGACTTCCTTCTCCCTTACTTTCTCAAATGCATGGCTTCCACCCATTTATAAAAATAATCAGTCATAAACAATATATATTGAGCCTTACCGGGTGCCCATGGAAGGGGGTCGACAATGTCCATCCCTCATTTCATGAACGGCCAGGGTGATAAGATTGAATGCAGCAGCTCCCCGGATTAATGAATCACCGGAGCATGCCTTTGACACCCGTCGCATTTTCCTACGAACTCCTTCGCATCTTTTTCCATGCCGATCCAGTAGTAGCCGGCTTTGATTATTTTTCAAATTAATAATTCGGCGCCAGAATGATTTCCGCAAGTGCCTTCGTTGACTTCCCTCACAACATACTCGGTATCTCCTGGTCCTAGACATATTGTTAGTGGACCATCGAACATTCTTCAGAACAGGGTACCATCTTCGGACAAGCTGAACGGGACCGCCTTCGTACGTAGAGTCCTCGATTCCTCGGGATCCGAGGGCAGTTTTCCAGTCTTCAGATCCTCTATATACTTGTTTCTCCAGTCCCAAGTTAGGCTTGTTGAGTTTATCTCGGTGTGAACTTCTTCCACTACTGATCTTATGAGTTGTACGACCGCCCCCGAGTTGAACTCATCATCGTCGACCGACGATCCCAAGTTAGCTAGAGCATCGGCCTCGCTGTTTTGATCCTGAGCCACATGTTGTAGGGTCCACTCCTTGAACTGATGTAACATTACCTGCAGTTTATCCAGGTATCTCTACATTCGTTCTTCCCTGACTTTGAACATCCCATTAACTTGGTTTACCACAAGGAGCGAGTCGCACTTAGCTTCGATCACCTCTGCCCCCAAGCGTTTGGCCAGTTCGAGACCTATAACCATGGCCTCAGACTCAGCCTCATTGTTAGTCAATTTTACAGTTCTAATAGATTGTCTAACTACACTGCCCATTGGTGGCTTCAATACTATGCCAAGTCCGGCCTTTGCGTTCGAGGCACCATCCGTAAAGAGGGTCCAAATTTTCGAGGAAGTCCCAAAGTTCAACAAAAATTCTCTTTCGACCTCGACTATTAGGGCCGGCATAATGTCGGCCACGAAGTCTGCCAAAATTGAGATTTGATGGCGGTCCGGGGTCGATATTCGATATCGTACCCGCTGATTTCCACAGCCTATTTGGCTAGTCGTCTAGAGAGTTCGGGTTTGTGCATTATATTCCTCAATGGGTAAGTGGTTACAACACATATGGGGTGGTATTAAAAGTATGGTTTTAGCTTCCTTGAGGCGCTTAACAAAGCGGGCGCCAATTTTCTAGGTGAGGATACCTAGATTCGGCCTCGCCCAGAGTTCTGCTAACATAATAGATAGGAAATTTCGTACCTTATTCTTCCCGGACCAGGACTCCACTTACCGCCACCCCCGATACTGCCAAGTACAGGTACACTTGTTCGTCTGCCTTCAGAGTGTGAAGCAAAGGTGGGCTCGAGAGGTAACATTTGAGTTCCTCCAGGGCTTGTTGGCACTCCGGAGTCCACGAGAAGTTATTCATTTTCTTCAACAATGAAAAGAACAGATGGATCTTGTCGGAGGACCTCAAGATGAATCGACCCAAAGCAGCTATGCGACCGGTTAACCTTTGAACGACTTTAACGTTGTCCACAACAGTGATGTCTTCAATGGACTTGATCTTATCGGGGTTGTAACGACCCGACCGGTCATTTTTTAGCTTTAGTGCGTTCTTCGGCAGTTTGAGGCCATGAGTTGCTTCACTTCAGGTATTATGACTTGTATGTTAGGTCGGAATCGAAATTCGGGAAGTTCAGATTTGGATTTGAAAAGGAAATTCTTATTTCAAAAGCTTTAAGTAAGAATTGATTAGGATTGGATTTTTGAGTAAACGACCTTGAAATCAGAATTTGAAGATTCCAGCAGGTTTGTATGATGATTTCGAACTTGGGCGTTTGCTCGGATCGGGTTTTGGGTGATCCGTGAGCGTTTTGGCGCCTATTATGGAAATTAGCATTTTTGGAAGAATTTCATGAATTTGGGTTGAAGTGCATTTCAATGCTATCGATGTCCGTTTGGGATTTCGAGTCTGGAGTAGCTCCATATGGTGATTCTAGTATTGGGAGCGTGATCGGATGTGGATTTGGAGGTCCGTAGGTCATTTTGGAGTCATTTGGCAAAAGATAGAAATTTGAAAGTTTTTGAGAAGGTTGACCGGAAGTGGACTTTTTGATATTGGGATCGAATTCCAATTCTGGAAGTTGGAGTAGGTCTGTAATGTCGAGTATGACTTGTGTGCAAAATTTGGGTCAGCTGGACGTGATTTGATAGGTTTAAGCATCGAAAGTAGAAGTTTGAAGTTCATAAGGCTCGAGTTGGGGTGCAATTCGTGATTTCGGCGTCGTTTGATGCAATTTGAGGCCTCGAGCAGGTCCACATTATGTTTTGGGACTGGTTGGTATGATTGTACGGGGTCCCGAGGGTCTCGGGTGGAATCCGGGTGGTCAACGGATCGAAAATGGAACATAAGGAAAGGTTGAAGTGCACCAGTTCTGGTGTAATTGCACCTGCGCAAGTTTGACCGCAGGTGCGTGATCGCAAACGCGAGGGAATGGTCGCGGGTGCGGTTTGGGTGAATAAGGGCAGTGACCGTAGGTGCGGAGATTAACCCGCAGTTGCGGGTGCGCATCTGCGCTGAGGAGACCGCAGAAGCGGATTTTAGACTTGAGCCTGGGACCGCAGAAGCGGCACATGCACCGCAGAAGCGGTCTGTGCACCACAGGCGCGAAAATGCTGGAGGCAGTAAGGTTTCTTTATAACGGGGGTTTGGCCCATTCTCTTCCATTTTACTCTTGTTTGGACGATTTTTGGAGAGCTTCAAGTGGGGGTTTTCATCATCAACGACAAGGTAAGCTATCCCCACCTATCTTGAGTTAAATACATTGATTATGTATAGATTTT